CTGTCTAAAAGGAATACATGATTAGGTATTATTGGCATGACAAGAGTCCAGAATAAGAGCTGCATATTAAAGTGGGCTTGGGAGAGGGGGGAACTATAGCAATGAAAGAAATTTTTTTCCAAAGAAGAAAGCAAACTGAGGGAGCAGGAAGGAAAATGTCCAACAATGAATGGAGATTCAAGTTTTTTTATAAACTTTTATTAAAATCTCAATTAGAAAAATTTAATATTTGATGCTGTGGGGTTTTTTTTACTCTATTACTATTTCACAGACAGGGACACTGAGGCCAAGCACTTAGCTGAGTATACAGTTAAGTGAGATGGGTTCACATTCACTTCCGACTCGAAGGCCTGTGTGTTCAATGGCTTCACTGTTCACCTTTGCTGAGGATGCCTCTCAATCAAGTAAGAGTGAGTCATCCATGTGCCTTTGATGTTTTTCTTCTTTCCGTAGTAATCTTGCACAGAACTCAGATTTAGTGCGGCTAAACCTTTGCGGGTGCTCTGGATTCTCCGAATCGGCCTTGAAAGTTTTGCTCAGCGGCTGCTCCAGGTAGGAAAGATTTCAGACTTGATTATAGTCCCAGGGTATCGAGTACATAGTTGTCTCTCATAACTGAATGTTGTGCTTATTATGGTAATTTAATTCATTGTCATTGGTCTCATAGGACTTTCAAAGCTAAGACCTTTCAGAGGCAGCTTGCCTACCTTTCATTCGTCTTTCTGGGTGAATTTGAACCATCAACCTTGTAGCTCATATTCAAGCATCTAGCCGTTTGTGTCACCCAGGGACTTCCACAGTGAATAGAACTGGGTGGATATTTTAAACCATTCCGAACAACTTGCTGTTCGAAACACAGAACCAAGTATATATGGATAAGGCAGTAATACTCTTTGCTATCATACTTATCTACACTTAGCTGCCAAAGTAATGTAAATTGCAAGGTGCCCTTGTGATGTTGTTGTTACTGTCTTCCCATCACACCTGAGCTGACTCATAGCTTCAGTAGGTTTTCAGAGTCAGTAAATTCCATAGGAGGTGATTGGCCATCTTTCTCCTCTTAGGAGCTGGAGGATTTGAACCATGTGCTTTTGGATCGACCGGGTAAACCTTTACCACGAAGCCATCAGACCTCCCTACCCTTTTGTAGTGATCCCCTTTGTTTTCATTTCTGCTGAAAAGAAGAATGGGAGCTCTGATAGATAAGGAATTGCTCT